GCCCCTCAAAATTATTTTTTAAAGATTTTATTTATTCCTTTGAGAGAGAGAGAGCACGAGCAGAGAGAGAGCATGAGAGGGGGGAGGGTCAGAGGGAGAAGCAGACTCCCCGCTGAGCAGGGAGCCCGACGTGGGACGCGATCCCGGGACTCCAGGATCATGACCCGAGCCGAAGGCAGTCGCTTAACCAACTGAGCCACCCAGGCGCCCTCAAGATAAGAATTTAAACCGAGGTTAGTTAAGCTTTATTTTGTGAAGACATCTTAGTGTGAAGCTCGTGTGTTAATAAGAACACTGTAATACGAGGCGGTCTTTGACAAGAGATTGTGCACGTCATTTCGGATATTCAATTGGTTTAAAGCTCTTGAGGTGCCCGGCTGGCTCAGTCGGAAGAGCGTGCGACTCTTGATCTTGGGTTGTGAGTTCCAGCCCCATTCTGAGTGTGGAGGTGACTTAAAAATGAATCTTCAAAAACAAAAAACAAAAATAACTTCTGGAGCTCTTGTTCTGTCTTGTTTTCAAGGTTCCTAAGGTTGACAATCCCACCATCCGCGTTGTCTGTTGGGCAGCCAGGTACACTGCAACCTCGGCAGCTTCCTCCTCCGCCTAGTGTGAGGAGTCAGTCTTTAGGATCGCTCATCTGTACTAGCCTCCTCTTGCTAATATAACAAATTTCCACAAAATCGCCTCAGTGTCCACCTCCGTAAATGGGTGCAATTACAGCCCCCCTTCACTGGGTCACTGTAAAGATCAAGACGTTATGCAATAGGCATCAGCTGGTTTTATTATGGAGGTCACTGAGTTTGAGGTGCGTGGAGACGCCCAGGATGTTGTTGGATAAGCAAGTGTGGGCATAGGAGATTCAGAAGGAAAGTTCTGGAGTTGAGGGAGGCAGAAGCCGGGCATCTGAGAAGTGGGAAAGGGCAGGAGAGAGGGATTTGGAAAATAACAGGGCCATACACATCGCAGGTTGGATGCAAACATAAATATTGTTATTTTCCTCCTCTTCCTCCATTTGGCCATCCAGCCTGCCCTCCCGCCTTCAGGCCAAAACACTCAGAGCCGACCACACACAGGGTTAGGATGCACTTGGGTGTTTACTGGGAATGGGATCTCAGAGGGCAGTCCTGGGTCGCTCACACTTTTTTGGTGATGTTCTTGGGGGTGGAGAGCTCATACAAGCGAGGGGATGCCCGAGCCACCAGGGACGCTGGGGAAATATGGTAGGGGTCGTAGCCCTCGTTGAGGTCCTTGCGCACTTTGGGCTTGGCCAGGGAGATGATCCGGGGACTGGCCACTGCCTTCTTGGTGACGTCCAGCACCTCCCAGCGTGGATCTCGGTCAGGAACACACTGGTTCGACTGGGCCTTGGGCACTGGAGAGGGCAGGAGAGGGGGACCGCGTCAGGCACTGGGGTCTCAGACGCGCGGCCGCTCAGGTCTGTGGAGGTCAAAGCTCCCAAGTTCAATGGGCTGCCCATCGACAGGAGAATGGAGATACACAACATGGCCTATCCACTCGCTGGAATATCACTCACCCGCGAACGGGAGCCAGGCGCCCACACGCGCGGCCCCGGGGACGGACCCCGAGCCCACAACGCTCAGGGAGGGAACCAGACACGGAAGGCCACACGGAGTGTGAGTCCACGTGGGTGACACGTCCAGATCAGGCTCGTCCACGGACGGGAAGGGGGCTCGGGGGGCCGGCGGCTGGGGCGAGGGTGACAAGGAATGATAACTAATGGAGAATGGAGATGGGGTTTCTCTTTAGGGAGATGAAAATTCTAAAATTGATTGTGGTGATGGGTGCACAACCCTGTGAATGTACTGAAAACTATTAAATTGTGCACTTTATTTTTTTATTGCAGTATACTGAACACTTTAAAAGGGTGAATTGTAAAGAAAAACTATTTCAAATGGCCACGGGTCCCAGACAGGGAACACAGGGGCCAGCCTAGTGGCCAAGGGGGTGGGGGCTCTGACCGGCCCCTTCCCCTAGTCCCCTACCTGCTCGAGTGCTACAGTGGGGAGGGGGGAGCGGACAGGCATGGGAGGCATCTCCTCTCCCTGGCTGGTACTGCATGCCCAGTCAGCGGACCAAGGGGCAACTCCCCGGCGTAGGACCCCTTCGGAACTCGGCACCAGCTTCTTGGCTGAGGCTGTCCTGGCTCCTCTGGGCTCTGGCTTTCCGTACTGGGTGGCATGGCTCCCACCAGCCATGTGTGACTAGAGTGCTTGATATGGGCTGGCGTTTTATTTGATTCAATTGTAATGAAATTGATTGACTCATTTAGATCAACCGATTGATTGGTTTTAATGGCATTGAAATAGCTGCACAGGGCCAGTGGCTGCTGTTGGGGACTGACCACTCTCGGGAGCGGAGGCCTGAGGCTCAGCCAGGCTCCCTCTTCTCACCTCCTGGTACCCCCAGGCCTCTCATGCTGGTCTGCTCCTCCTCCTCCTCCCCTGCCCCCACCACCCCCTCCTGCAGCACATGGCCTGTCAGGGGACTAGAAGAGGGGTGGTCACCAGTGGTCACTGCCTTAGCCTTCGTCTCTGGGAGCTTCAGGACCCTGGGGTCCTGGAGGGATGCTCCAGTCTTCTTCCCAAGCCCCCTTTGCCCAGAGCCTCTGGGCAAATGAAAAAGGGTTGACCCCTTCTCAACAGGTAAGCCCTCAGTGGAGAGACCCTGGGGAAAGGGAACAGGGTCCCTCCCATCAGGCAGGCACCCGTCCACGCGGGGCCTGGGGGAGGAAGCCATCGGGGCTGGACAGAGCTGTGGGGTGTGTGTGTGACGTGCCCAAAGGGAAGGGGCCAAGCAGAAGGGGGGCCCCAAGGAGGACCATGCCCAGGCCCCGGCTTCTCTGAACTCCTCTGAGAATTCAGAAGCACTCCTACCATTGTGACATCCGGGCTTTAAAACTGTCAATGACAGGGCATCTGGGGGGCGCGGTCCATTAAGCGTCCGACTCTTGGTTGAGGTTTGGGTCGTGATCTCAGGGTCGTGAGACCGAGCCCTATGTCGGGCTCCACGCTCAGAGCAGAGTCTGTTTGGGATTCTCTCCCTCAAATAAATTAATTAAAAACAAAACTCTGCCAGTGAAAACTTGACAGTGACGTGGTGACAGTCCCCTACCACACAACACACTGGACAAACACAGAGCGGCAAGCGGCTGAGGAACCTTCCCATGCCTGCACAGCCCCACGCGGGTCGCTTCTCTCTGACGGTGCCAGTCATGGCCACGGCAGGGGGGGGCGCGAGTCTGCTGTGAACAAGACAACCTCAGGCCGCCCTGAAGAGCACAGTTCACGCGTGTCTATTCGTGGGCACGTCTGCAGCACGGATGCGTGTACACACAACTGCCCGCGTGTCTGTACGTGTGTGTGTGAGAGAGGGAGAGAGACACGACGGCCCAGTGCGTTCGCACATGTTCCAGCACGGATGCGTGTACACACAACTGCCCGCGTG